AGATGTTACAATAGTCTCGGGTATGATATGATTTACATCCAGATGTAACAATATTTTCGGGTATGATATGATTTACATCCAGATATTACAATAGCCTCGGGTATGATATGGTTTGCATCGAGATATTACAAAAGTCTCGGGTATGATATGATTTACATCCAGATGTTACAATATTATTTTCGGGTATGATATAATTTACATCCAGATATTACAATAGTCTCGGGGATGATATGATTTACATCCAGATGTTACAATAGTATCGGGTATGATATGATTTACATCCAGATGTTACAATATCATTTTCGGGTATGATATAATTTACATCCAGATATTACAATAGTCTCGGGGATGATATGATTTACATCCAGATATTACAATAGTCTCGGGGATGATATGATTTACATCCAGATATTACAATAGTCTCGGGTATGATATGATTTACATCCAGATGTTACAATATTTTTTTCAGGTATGATATATTTTACATCCAGATATTACAATACTCTCGGGTATGATATACCAGATCCAGTTATTTTGATAACATCAAAAAAGTCAATCTAATAAAATAAATAAATTAAAATAAATAAATAAATAGATGCGATGCACCTGCAGACGTGCTAGCAATGTAGTTTAGCTGAATACAAGAAATCCATTGTTGTCCTCAAAGATGAATTAGTTTTTTTTGTGTAATATGTCCTTTTTTAATTGAATCCAATTTTGAATTGGCAGAATTGCTTTCATGCTTTTATACTTGATATGAAGCCAGACTTTTATGAAACGTCATAACAACATTGACATTGAAACGAGAAACAGACGTTTTTTATAAGTATTTCGATACGGTTGTAAAAATGCTTTGAGATCTGAAATAGTCATCGGTGCGATTTACCAGTGTATCGAGTTTCTCATTTGTAACTATTTCCAGTCTACAGATAGCTTTAGCAGCTATTTTGAACGTATTTAAGCGTTTCTGGTAAGAGCATATGTTTTTCCGTGGTTTTACATCCATATTTAGGTCAAATGAGGACGTGTGCCTTGGGAAACGCCGCCAACAAAGGGACAAAAAGAGAATAAGATAGAGGGAGTATGCAAGAGAGAAATAAAGATCAGGTAACTGCTTGTCCAAAGGTCTTTCTGGTTTCTAACTTTAGTCAATTATATAAGTCGCAATAAAAATACCTCAGTCAAACTATTGGTTGCTTACAAACTGCCAACGGTCCGTCAAAGGGGCATCAAGTTCGATTATGACGTCACAATCAAAATTGTCTTTTGATTGTAACGTCATTATTAAGGAAATGACCAATTATGACAGCTTTTTGGTCATATTAAGTAAGGTGTGTGTGAGGTGGGTTGGGCTCTCGATATTTCTTTCTTTCATTTTTTTCTTTTTTCTTTTTTTTCCATCGATTATTTTGTCTAGAACGTCGCTGTTCTTGTAGATACATATACAGGCCAATGTTAAGCCCTGATTGGTGACATCTCCCGTTAATGAAGTATTTTTCTCGTGTCTCCAAACATGTCGTGTCTGATATATAGTTCAAACCTCGAATTAGATTTCTTCACTCTTTCTTTTTCTTGCCTCTCTAATATCATTTACTAAACATGTTTGTTATTGTTATGAAATGTGTTCGAGAGGCGTTTCTAAGTTGAGATAATTTTTAACTGACCTTTTTTGTTGTAGAGGTCCGTCTTTAAATAAAAGTCAATAAAGATTCACCCAAATGCATGGGATTTGAACGGAATATAAACTTTGAGATTATTTAAATTAGTAATTATTGTAAAAAACGTACAGCAGGTCATATGAAATTTATGCGATCAATGTCTGAAATTGTAGTAAGCTTTTATGCACATGTATTTTGTATTATTGTTATTATTTATTTCAGATGTTCCAAATATACAAAAAACGTAGTTTAATATTTATGTGCTGGTTTGTTTATATTGGCATTTTCTGGGCCATTTTCACATGGTGTGCTTTATAGTCTTTATCGGAAAAGTATATAAAAAATATTTCGGAAACATATGTAAAATGTTTCTTTAGAGTATGTCTGTCTTCGAATTCACCTTCTGTGACCCAGAATCCATAAGCGCCCCGCCCACTTTCTCGTCAACGAGTCTGTGCCACTGCACTGAGTAGTCGATGACCCGAAAAGTAGTTTATAAACACAGCACGCCGCTTTCTTTCATATGTAAATAGTACCCAGACCGGTCGGGTTCATTATTGACAGGTAAGATACATTATAATAATCTATGCGTATTTTCTACATGTTAGTCTTTGGTAATAAATCATTGCAACATTATAATACAAATATCATGACTATGTTGTCTTAATGCCTAAATGTCTTAAAATATTATCAAGAATGAATAAGCGCTCGCTCGGACTTGGTTTCAAATACCTTATACACCCTCGGTTGGGCTGGCCCATTCTTCTTCCTGTCAACTCAGCTGTCTGAATGGAATCATGGCGGAGACGATGGAAGGTGCGCCAGGGAACATCGCGACGATGGAGAATTCGGACGACAAAAAGTCCTCCGTTGCAAGTAGCGATTTGTCGGAACAAGAAGAATCATCAGAAGAAGAATTATACGAAGTGGAGAGAATTATGGGGATGTCTAAAGCCAGCGTAAGTGGTATTTCCATTGTGAGGGTGCACACAGAGACATACCGGCTAACGATATACGACCCTATTTCTGAAGTGCCCCCTAGCAAAGTCCACATATTTGAATTAAGTTGTATGGAAGAAGAGCGGAATTATGTTGGATTTCATTTAATTATGCATATGGGTTTGGTCTAAATAGCTAATATATACCAAATGAGAAATATATACGAAATTTCCCAAGTGATGGAATGTGACCGATTCGGCAGGAAATGGTCGAGTGTTCGTTAGGCTTACAACAATGGAGAGGGGCTAGATTAGGGTCACTTAGGTCACTCTGTGACACGTGCACAAATACCTGCCTTGTTGTATTTCTTCTTAGTTCATATATCAGACTTTTCAAGTCAAATAATAAAGCCAAATTCTACATAGATTTATGTAAAACGTAATTGTGTTCGGTATGTAGAGCGGTATTTATCGTCTGCCAAAGCACGTAAACACAACCTAGATTCTCGAGAAATAGGGACAGGCGGTGACACACTTATGAAGTTAGATCCACAAACTATGGTACGCGGAAAGTTAATGGGGCCTTTGGAATTTTATGTGGGCCTATTCTATTGTAACTTCCCAATTGCAACTCGATCTATATGAGCTGGTCGTTATTATTTATCATATTCGGGTTTGCTCTCCTCCCTCAATGCACTGTTAGTCCCCCTGCCATTAGTGATAAGGCATTATCCAAACAACAACACACAGTACAATTAAACGCGAGTTATGACTGTTTAACATATTGTTACAAATGACTCTATATTTTTGATAAACAAGTTGACCTAGATTTTACAGTGCGCATATTTGATGTAAATCCTTATATGGGATAATGGCAGCAGGCTGGTGTTATTCAGTTTGAACTCTGCTGTGGTATTCCTATTTCTGTTGAGATTTTACTTATCAGTAACCATGTAGTCTTTGCCATATGACACACATATGCATGGGCAAACAGCATAAGGAGACCTCACAGGACTATATTTAATATATATACAGTATATATGTATATTTAGACTGGCGATAAGATGGATTCTGCAATATGACTAGTCTTTAAAAAAAAATCAAAGCCAGCCAAAGGAATATGGTTTAACATCAGTGCTATTGTAATGAAGTTTAATTAGTATTCTTTGTCATGTATTTCCTATGATATAATCAATATTGACCAAGGAGTGAAATGTCTCACAAATTTGACACATTTTGTATGGTCTGTGCTGTTACTTATTTGCTGTTTATAAAATGTGTCAATTTATGAATATATTTTTAACTCTTTTAGTAATTTTGTTGATTCTTTTAATTATATACTCAAGAAATAGAAACGAATACGTTGAGGTATTACTTCATACATGGCTGTATTTCAGAATTCAGTATTACACAAATTTCAGATATAGACTTCCTGTTACTTTTGTCTTGTATCAAAATTATTCAGTGTGTATGTGAAGGTCGTTTACTACCTGCAGAGATCTGCGTGAATCATGCAATGCTTGTTTGTGCATCAACTATGCATATAGCCTTGTCTATCATGACAAGTTTACAGGTCATGTTACATGAATGCACACTGAAAATTATTATCAGTGTTTTTTGTGCTTTTAAAACTCTTATACAGGCATATATTTTGTAAAAATCTGTTTTTATACTATATTGTATGCATTGAATGATCAATTTCCATGATGTAAAAGGCTGATGGCTACATTTTCGGTGACACAAGCTCCTGTACTTAAAGAAATATGTATTTTCACCAGCCGTCTGATATACCTGAAAATATGTATCAAACCGACATACTTGATGTTGTATACAGTCACTGATAAAGAGTTATACTGTATGTACTCATGATATCTTATTGTACTTCATACATGGCTGTCATTGATATCTAAACAATGACTAAATATTTTGATCAAGTAATATTTGGTAAATGCTTGTCTAACAAACAATGTTTCCTCTGTATGTTTATAATTAATATTCAACTTTTCAAAAGTCTAGAGGTGACACTGTGAAGATATGTTAACATTTAATAATAATTACCTGCAACTTTACTACTATTTTCTTTTATAGAGGTGATGGTAAATTGGTATCCTCCCATATTTATCCTCCCTAACCTGGTCTTTCGAGTTGAATGACAGTGTGAATTAATAATACATTTTGTAAGGGTTCTGATCCGATTCATACTACCTATAGCTATTCACAATTTATTAGATAGTCTGGCATTCTGGAATACTCATAGAATTGATTCTGAGCTCAGACACATGATTGTATTTGACTAGCAGAGTTACAGTAAGTTACATGTAAGAGATGCAAAGAAGACCACAATTCCAGGATAGTAAATCAACAATTAAATTTGTCTGTGGGAGTTATTTGATGATAGAAAATGGCCATGGCTTTGGTACCGTGTAGTGGGGTGTGACTGTGAAACCTGTACATGACAAGTTCCTGTGTAGGTATAGCCCTAGATCCTTGACACATTGACCCTAATTATACAATTGTTATGCATTAATTCACTATCATCAACTAAACTTTTTATAAGGGTGCCTAGCTAGCAGGTAAATGACCACCAGACATGTGATGTAGACTAGTAGCAGTGGATTAAAAGTTTCATGCTGTGAATCTCTGAAAAATTGACAATGTCTGCCATGTTAATTTTTCACTGTTTAAACTGGTGGGGCTCGAGCCTAATTAAGGTAATAAAAAAAATCAAATATTCCACAGATCATGTCAGAATTAAAATAAATGATGGTAATGAGTACCTGATTTTTTTATAGATCTTGCCACATGAAAACAGAAACATGTACCTTTGTTGTATATATTTCTATTTCACCTATACATTTAGTGATAAAGGAATATTTAGAGTATATTGTTATTATATTTATTCACTTTGTGCCTTGTATATAGCATATTTTTAAAATGCTCTCCAACTGCTACCGTCATACCAATGTAAACACTGAAGATTTATTTCTAAAATCCATAATTCAGCTAACTCTTTTACTCCGAGACTATAATTGATTGTGCCGTACAGGCAAACAAGGGAAGGAACTTTGTTGAGAATAGATCTCCTGGGTGACTAGTGTAAATCATTATCATGGTAACCAGTTTGGCAGCAGTGACTGAAATGCCAGCAGCATCAACATTTCCTCATCCGGGAAAAGAAGAGAACAGAGACCGGGATCTATACCAGTTGGCTGGTGGTGATTACCAATATGCAGTACGGGAGGGGGAACCAGATCCTGTCACGTGGAGTCTCTATATTGATTACAGCCATATGCATCACATGACCAACCCAAGACAACCTGTACCCAATCCATATTGGAGACGATTGCAGAAAAAGTTCCAGAGAAAAATCATTGAAGTGGATGAAACAAAAATCTGTCCTCTACATATTTACAAGTTAAAACATGTAAATGTCATTGATGATAATGTTGACATTTTTTTTCCACACTGTTATTAAAACATTTATCAATATCTTAAACTTCTAGTTTGACAAGTTAGCGTAGGTGAACCTTTTTGAAAGTATTTTCTTTACTTTCCTTCCTAAATACTTGGATTTAACAGAAGATTGCCTGTACTGTGAAGTACCTGGCATCATGACTCAAACATATAAGTTATTATTGTGTTTCTTGACAATGTTGGTAAGACATGTGAGGAAAGTGTGTTTACAATGCTGGCCTAGCCTGTGGTATAAAGGGACATACTTCCTGTGCTGTGAAGCATACACACAATAATCAGAATGTGGTTGTGTGTAATGTATAATATTAAGGATCTATATACTTCTCAAGATGTGAGTGGGCAGTGACATGATATGACTAAGTGCCACATTCTCCTTCCTGTCAACATCAGGTCCTATCAATGGATCAAGTGCTAGCCATTTTGATTTCAGCTTTGGTTACACTGTATAAATAACAAGTTGCTTACATAGTTGTCAATACATACTTGTAGTACCTTTATCTTTTAACAAGTGAAAAATGGCTCCAATTTCCCCTCCCTAGTCTAGAATGCATAATGTGCTCAGTGCTGACTGAACTTTCATATATATATACATTTTCAACACAAGTCGGTTAATTACTATCTTTTACATTGAACCAAAAATCAAGATCAGATTTTTTTTCTATTTGTTCCAAGGTTAAATGTACAGTTGATGCAGATACACCAGATTATTCCGTTTATTATGCCTGTCCATGCCAGTGGATCATACATCCATTCCTACCTTGATTCTAGTGTATAAGATTAATGAACCCGTTAACTGGCAGAACCATCTTTGATCCAGCTGCAGGATTGGTCGAGGTTTGCATGCCATTGAGCAAAATGTTGTTCAGGTATACTTACTCTTTATGTACGGTAGTACATGTACCAGCATATATTCTGATTTGTAGCGACCTTCTGGCCCTATACATGCATCCTATCTCATTATTCTGAACTGCAACAAACTTTGTACCATGCCTTCTGCTTATAAAGCCCATTTCTTTTTCATGTTTTACTGCATTCTCAGTATGGTTATTAGATAACCATGTACTAAACTGTGAAACTATACGGGTCATCATTAATTGTATGGTATTCTGTTCATAACTTCCCGAGATCTTTTGACCTCTAAATCCTGTTGTCTTTCTCATAAATTCAAAATAACATTTCACCCGCCCGCCCCTTTAAGTTCATGTAATATAAGTATTTTAAAGCTGATCTATTTAGTGTTTACCCAGAGATTGTATATATATAGTTATATGTTCAGATATTTTTGGTTAAAAATGAATTACAACCAGGTGTTGACTTTGAAATATTAAAAATCATAAAGGGCTACTCGTAGGTAAAAGAAAACAAGTGTTTACTTTGTAACTTTGATATTCGCCCAGGCTAGGCCTGAAAAATAATATATTTCCATCTGATTAGCTGAAACGTTTGGACAAACTTGATGATAAAATATATATAATAATGACTTAACGATGTTAAAGACAAGGGTAAGTTGAAAGACATCAGTATGTTTATATAGTGATTTGTAGTCT